TAAAGTCAAATCGCTCGATTGCCCAACGGTTGAACGAACAACAGCGTACCGAAGACCAAACATCGATATGTATACACAACGAACGTGTGTATAAAGTCGTCATAAAAATTAATATTTCTACTTCATCGGCAATAAGTCTATTGCAAATCGTAACACGGTGCAATAATCGATTATTGGGCGGGTAATATCAACTTTAGAATTTGGAAAGTGTTATATTTCTTGCCCTTCAAAATAGCTAAGCGTAATCAGCATAAATGTACCGCAATATTAGAAAAATGAGAAAAATTATTCGATAAAAAATTAATAAACGGATATTTCCGATCAAATTCCGGTCAATTTTTATATCCAATCAGGATATCCGATTGAATTTAATTAGGTACTTTCGATCATAATGACATTTTATCAGATAAATCGATCAAAAAATTATGATATTTTTCATCGGATGTTTCCTAATCGGATACAAAAATTTATCGGTATTTTGATCGAAAATACCGCGAGTTAATTCTTACTATATTTCTCACCGACAATATTTAACTACGTGAAAAAGAATGCTTATTATATGTTCTGTTATGATATAACAATTTTAAAATAAATATATTCTATCTGACCGCATCAATTGTCGGGTTATATATGTAACATGTGTTCGCAAGATAACATAACATTATAACATTGTTGTGTATGACTACTGTTTTTGTATTCATAATAAACAATATGTTATCGATCAAATATACAGAGGAAAAGATTTCTTTAGATCCAGAGACATCTTTAGATCCAGAGAGATTTCTTTAGATTTCTTTAGATTCTTATTCGTTTGACTTTGATTTATTCAATTCAACACACAACATAATTTTAAGTCAAACAACATGTAATATATGATTCTACATCTGTATTGTCTTCATTAGATTAAACCACATTGTTTAATAGGAAAAGCACTACTATTTAAAGAAAATTTTCAACCAAATACTATATTATTTGGTTATGTAGTATATTAAATTTTATTAGATTAAAGTATATAATTTGACTGAAAAAAACTAATGTTTCAATATCTGTGCTTAAAATTTTAATCGAATTTAATATTCATACTACGAATATAATATAATATTTGGTAAAAAATCCGAGAGTCATCATCCGTAGTTGACTAATGTACGTTCTATCAATATTCGTTACATATCTGCTGTTATTGTATTGTTTCCAACGATTACCAGTAAGTATAAGATAGAAAAAGTTTTTCTAGTAACTATATTGAAAAAAAATACTTGGAAATTTATTTATAGAATATAAAGTTTATAAACGGTAGAGTTAATTGATTTTATATAAGAGAGAATAAACAACGCATCGATATGGCGTTCACATTGGCGTTGCCATTAGTATTCGATCGACAACCAAGAAATGTTAGTACATTAAGCACTAAATTTCATGGCAATGCAATATACCGATTATCGTCCATTTCTTGACAAAATTCTCCAAACACCACTAACTCCAACGGCACTAACGGTGGCAGTTATCTCATGTTATTTGAATTTACGGCATCGTAATCGACCAAGAGCAACTTCTACGTCGAGAGCGACCAAAAGATAAACAAAGCGAGCACATGCCGTTCCGCATCGGCGCGAATAATTTGAAGCGTGATAGCAAACAAAAAGATTCCTATAAAGAAAAAATTTTTTTATTTTATGGTTCTTATTGATAAAATTAAAAAAAAATGGGAAAATAAGGGCCTATAAAGAATCACTAACACGGATGTAGTAGTAGTGTTATATAACTAATTATATAAAAAAAGACAGTTAGTAGCTATCCTCACTGATGTAGAGGTAAAATACATTTTTTTATTCAAATAACTAAAAAAAAAACACGTTTCGGTCCTTCAGTAGACCCTCCTCAGTGGTAACATTATTATATGAGAAAAAAGAAACCTCAATTATGTATACAAAGAAAAAAACAGTCATCTAATGAACAATGATAACAACGCAAGTCAACAATTAAATCTAAAGCAAATCGCACCAAACGTTATATATGAAAAAGGATATCAAAAATAAATAAATAATATTCAACCGTCGCAAACAGAATTAGTCAAATCTTCAAAAATTACGCCAAACCGCTACATTTCAGAGGCAGCAAGTGAGAGTTAAAAAATAAAAAAACTAAGTTAGTCCAATAATTTGCAATAATAAAAAGTGAGAAGACCGACGTTAAAAATAATAGTCGAGAATTATATATTAAAAAGGTTGTGTCAAATGAATATTACCTTGACAACAGCTAAGCAGAGATTTAGATAAATTATGTCAACGGTTATACCGAGTCAGTCTAGAGAGAAAGAAACAAGAACAATAGATAATAACGGAATGCAAGGCTTTTCTAACAAGCAGAAGTATTTGTATACAATGTAACAAAAGTCAAGAACAACAAATATAAAATTCTTAAACACTGAGAAACACAAACAGAGATCATTTAAAAGTCAATAATTTAAAAGTGGTAAATAACAACCCAGCAAAGTAATGCCATTTTGAGCGTTAATTCCGTGTTTCTATTTCTTAATAAAAATCACTTTCGCAATTAATCTTACATAATAATTCTTTTCCTTATGTAAAACTTCACATTGTCCCAAACTTCACATTGTCAAAATCATGTCCATGGAGCAAACAGTGTTTCTAAATTACTGTAAGGTCCGCAGACGGGTCTCCAAGGATCCTCATATGATCTCTAAACCTTGTACATAATTTTCTTTCAGTTTATCCTACATATGTTGCATCGCAATTAGTGCATTGTAGTTTGTATACAACCTTATTATTCTTGTCACAGGAAAGTGAGTCCTTATGGACTCTAACTAGATCCGTAATTTTATTTGTACAAACAAAGGCGATTCTACCGTTAATTCTTTTCATCATCCTGTCAAAATTCTTCTATATAGCTCCCATATATGATATAGTAAAATAATTAGTGAAGATATTGGAGTAAGATTTTTTGAGCTATTACCATTCACAGTATTAAGCCTGCGGAAAAGAGTTCTAAGGCGGCGGCGAGTTGAAAGTATTAATTATTTTACTGTACCATATATGGGAGCTATATGAGAGAATTTTGACAGGGTGGTGAGAAGGATTAACGGAAGAATAGCCTTTACTTGTACAAACAAACTTACGGATCTAGTTAGGGTCCATAAGGATTTAATTCCCTGTGACAAGAAATACAAAAAGGACAGTGTGATTGTGTTAGTGACGATTGTCTCTGCGTTATCGACGTTTTTCGAGTTCGTCATCGACTTCAGCATTCTTTCAAAAATATATAAAGTCTTCAGAAAGATTTTTACATATATATATATATATATATATATATATATATATAT